ATATCCCCAGAATTTCTGATTTTTTACCTCAGCTTAGTTCTCAACCCATTATAAATTATTTTATTCATCCTTGGTCACTAATCTCTCCATCCTTGTTCTCCTGCTTCTCATTCCAAGTTTTGATACCTAACTTACTATAATTCTTTCCAGGACTGGACTTGAGCTGCTCTTGAAATTTGGACTGCCTCTCTTCTCTTCTTTTCTACCTTTTTCAGTCCTCTTTTACTCAAGGATGACCTTCATGAAGCTTCCCTGACCATCCAAATTGGGGTCAGTGCCCCTGATCAGTACATAATACCCCATGTCTTGGTTTGCCTTTGCCACCAGAAGGTGATCTTGCAGGCAGAGACTGAGATTACTTTTACATTCTGTATTCTTAGTGCCTGGCACAAAGTGGGTGTTTAGTAAATTATAGCTAAGTGAAAAAATAATAAACAGGAAGAGGAATATGGAGCAAAACCAAAATTTAGAGATTTGGAAATACAGAGTTCCTAAATTTCAAAGAAAATATAGGCAAGATGCCATGGTACAGTCTGTATAAGGGAGAGTGGTTGCACGGTTCCACTTATTCATCATTGAACAAGTGGAAATAATATGTGAAAGGAAGGCAGAAGGATATGAAAAATGTGTATATATAATTATATATTTTATAACATATATATGTAACATATAAAAAGGGGAACACAACGCTAGGAGAATAATGAACTGAGGTTTTAAAAAAGGTTAAGGCTGACCTTTCACATTTTATATGTAGAAGATGAAAACAATAAGCAAATTAATAGATTGTTATTAACAAACTGACCCTATGATCAGATACAAAGAGTAAATAAAACTTCTCAGCCTTTTTTTGTTTCTGTATTCTCTGACATGAAGGATGATCTACACACAGACTAATGAGGATAGAAGTAAGAATAGTAATAGGAGAAAATGTAAGCCTAAGATTGGGGAAGAGATTGTACCAGAACTCCTGGCTGCTCTCAATGAGTTCACATCTCAGAAAATTTGTTCACGACATTGCCAAACTGGTGATTTTTGAATAATTATGGTGAATTTGAAAACTTCTAGAAGACTGTTGAGGAGTGAAGTTCCAAAATTATTAAAAAAGAAATGTTGATGCCATAGATTTTAGTGAGCTTTATCATGGTGTATGATCTTTTTACTATATTGCTGAATTTGGGTTGCTGATGTTCTGTTGAGGATTTCTGCATCTATGTTCATCAGGGATATTGGCCTATACTTTTCTTTCTTTGTAGTATCTTTGTCTGATTTTGGAATCAGGGTAATAGTGACCTTGTAAAATGAGCTTGGGAGCCTTTCCTCCTCTTGAATTTTTCAGAATAGTTTGTGAAGGATGGGTGTTAGTTCTTCTTCAAATGTTTTACCAAACATTCAAAGAAGCAATGCAGTCCAGGCCAGGTCTTCAGTGTTAACAGGGACACTGCATGTGCAGATTAGGAGGATGCTGCCATTGTAGAGGCCTAGATTCCCATGAGGTCTCTGACATCATCTATCCTGTATTTTGTTCTTGGGGACATAATGGAGAAGTGGACTATAGTATAAGTAGTAGTGAACAACAGCGCTCAACCTTAGTTACTTATTGGCAGCCTCATAGGGAGTCTCTAGGGCTGCTGTTTCTAATCCTGCGCCACCTGTCAGTTTTACATCGTCTCCCACTACTCACTCGCAGCTGATGGCCTTGCAGCTTATTTCACTGAGAATTAGAAGCATCCCCATCTTCGTCCTCCCACCGCCAGGTGCACTAATCTTCCTGCTTCTGTGCTCATGTGCTCTGTCATCCCTGTTCCTTCCACTGTATTTTGCTTACTCATTGTTCCTGAAATTATCTTCTCTCATTGTAGTTTTTCATGTATTTTCCTTTCTCTGTTGGACAAAGATGCTGTACAAACATGATATAATATTTCAGCTTACAAACACACTATAATATCTTGAAGCAAAAGAAAAACCCTCTCCCATCTACTGTCTCCTTCAAGCTACTGCAGAACGTCTTAAAAGAGCTGTCTAAACTCCTTGCCTCCATTTCCTTGACAATCTTTGACAAGGTGTCAGTAACTTTCATGTTCTTAAATCTGGTGGTCAGTTTCCAGTCTTCATCTTACTCAGCAATATTTGACACAGTTGATCACTTTTTCCTGTTTCAAACTTTGTTTACGTAGTTTCTGGGAGGCACCACTCTCCCAATTTTTCCCCTTCCTGATTTGCTACTGTTTCCCAGTCTCCTGTACTGGGTCCTCCTCCTCTCCTTGGCTGAGGGATACTAACCCAGGTCCATTCTCTGCTCTGGGCTCTCCCATCCATCTAGTCCCATTAATTACAGAGGTATGCTGATGACTCCCAGATTGATTCTCCAGTTTCGGCCTCCCCACCTGAACTCCAGTTGGTGTGCCCCACTGCCTACTTGATATCCTTTCTGTGGTCTCTAAGAGTATGGTGCGACTCTTCACACAGGCTTAAAAAACCTTGTAGTCTTTTGTTCTGGGGGGTGGGTTACTGAGGTTAAGAAAGAAGGAGACTTACATTCTTAGGGAGAGACTGTTCTGGGAGACACATCTGTTTCCTCTTTCCACACCTTCTGTCCCTGAAAGCAGGAGTGAGTGGCTTTTCTTACTCAATAGTAACTTTTAACTTCTCTTATCCTCTCGCACTCAGCATCTGATGTGTCAGACATACACGAAACTCAGTGCCCTGGAATGCTCTTTGCCCAGATATCCTCATGGCCTACTTCTTTACTTGCTTCATGTTTTCGCCCAGCTATCACCTCTTCAGACATTCCTTGTGCACCCTATCTAAGGTAGCATTCCTGACACTGTACCCTTATTCTGTTTCACTTCGTTCCCATGGCACTTAGTACTACCTGATGTTACAGCGTTTGTTCTTTATTTCTACCCAAGTGAACTCGATGAGGACAGGAATTTTGTTTTTGCTCTATATCCAGTGCCAAAAATATTTAGCCGGCTGTGGTAATGTTCAATAAACTTTTGTTTAATTGAATGGCATACTGATGAAATTTCTGATGACATCAGACATTGTTAGTTTTTTTGCCTTTTGTTTTGGCCATTCATGTTTTACACTTTACCAGTCACTGTATTAGAAAAGGTAAAACATGTTATTTTTCTGAGGTCTTTGATGTGATTATAGGCATTTTGTTACTATGACTTTCATTGATAGCACATTTTAAGAATATAAAAATTCTAGTAATAATAGCAAGTTTTATTCATTGTGGTATTACAAATGTTGCTTTGGAAGTTGAAAATTATAGTAATCGTGATAAATTTAAAGTTTGGCATTACAGCTATAAAGTGCAAAAAGCAGTAAGATGGGGTCCCTAGCCTTAAGGAACCTGTGACTTAGGTGATAAGACAGTCATGTAGATAGGTAACTACAGGGTGTCCATGCAGTTTCGAAACAGAGGCAAATATATGCAGGGCCCATAAGGACACCTTCAGTCTATTTTCAAAAACTGAGTTTCCAAACTTTAGGGACACCCAGTATGTCATAGGGTAAGAAACATTCAAACATGGCTGTGTATAAAGAGTGGTGGTGGAGTGAAGGAGGCATAGCCGATGGTGCTGGCAGACAGAATTAAGAGTGTGGATAGAGTGAAACTCCATGGATGTCCAAACTGGGCTTTGCAAAATAAGGAGATAGAGAAGCCGTTCTCATTTAAGCACATTAGAGAAATTCCTCCCTTGGCCTAGAAGTGTCCCTTGATAAGAGAGAAACAGATGGATCCTGGTGTCTGTCAGCTTTCCCTTCTAATGGCCATGCTGAGTTAGCTGGAATCATCTTGGCGTTGCACGATAGGTGGCTCCGCCTTGTAGTAGTCCAGCTAGAGGGTGCTGGTCGCCAGAGCAGTTAATACAGTACCATCTCTGTGCTCGTAATTTGACTGATAATTTCCCTTTCCATAATTTTAGAGTTAAAAATACATGGATGATTTTGATTAGCTCAGGAGGCAGGAGGAACAGGTATGGAAGATGTGTTGAGACTCCATCCTGGGCTGTTCTATTTGGTTGAACAGCTGATGCACTGGCCTCTGGTGTTGGGCCAGCAGAATGGGTGAGTGGGACTGAAGTCTAGCCTGTGCTTTGATAGCTGTATGCCTACTGTGGGCCTGCACCAGCCTGGGAAGAGAGAAGCTTTTCTTAATTCACACAAGGTCCTGTGTAAGGTCTGACAGCAGCTCTGTCCCATTTCCTGCCTATGTAATCCGCAAGTGCCTAGATTAATGCAGGTTATAAAAACTGTGTGCCAAGCTGAAAGGAATTCAAGGCAGTTCTCTAGGTTGGAGCATTTTGAAGCAAAGATCATTCTGATTAAAAAAAAATGTGGTTCAAAATACATCTTTGTATTTGTCTTATAAGGAAAATCTTTTTCATGCCTCTGTCTGATAAAAACTAGGGAGAAGAACAGATAACTAAAGAGAAGCACCTTATTGCTATCCCAGCAGTTGGAATGTATCGTTTAATATTTTATAAATAGCCTTCATTATATAGTACACAAAAGATTAGTTTATTTAAAAAATTCAATAAGGATATGATATTTGGTGGTAGTTTATTCATTGACTTTAGTATATTCTGAGTTCTTATCTATCTCAAGTACTTTTCAGTCTTACATAAGAGTAACTTACTTGGCTGCCCGTAGTATAGTTGATACTCCACTACCTCCTAGATTCCAGTGTTAAGAAAACTGATACTGGTCTCATTGTCTTCCCTTATAAGTTAACTGGTGATTTACCTGGCCGTTGTGAATTAGGCATTGGGAGAGGAAGGTTGGGAAGCTATGATCAAGTTGCCTTGTTCAGATGAAATGTTCTAAGACTCCCTCTCTGAAGATTCCCTTCCTGAAGTTCTAGGTGCTTTTAGTGTACTCTTGAGACTCCAAAAATTCATTGCTGCTTCATACATCAGATATGAATTCTGGCCATTGGTTTTTATGTCAGAACTTTGTTAAAGTTATTTGTTTTACTATTGCCATTGATATGTCTCTTTTTTCTTGTAGGTGAAGCTTTACTCTAAGAATATTTGTTTCACCTAGTTCATGAGCTCAACTTATACTCTAAATGTTACAGAAGTGTTGAAAGATTGGTAAGTATTTAATGTAATAAATATTAGCAGTCAAAATACTTGGTTCAGTCTAAGGCTTTGAAACCACATAGTTATGTGACATTAATTTAACTGCAAACAATAAAACCTCATAGTTTTAAATGTGAACTTTTGTTTTTCTAATCTTCTTTTTTGTAATATTTATTTTTTAGCTCGGTCATGAGCACTGACAGTAACTCTTTGGCACGTGAATTTCTGACCGATGTCAACCGGCTTTGCAATGCAGTGGTCCAGAGGGTGGAGGCCAGGGAGGACGAGGAAGAGGAGGAGGAGGAGGAAGAAACACACATGGCTACCCTTGGACAGTACCTTGTCCACGGCCGAGGATTTCTTTTACTTACCAAGCTAAATTCTATCATTGATCAGGTAACATTTTCATATCAAATAATTTTTTCATAAGTATATTATCGTTAATTTTAGGTACATAATTTCTGGAAGTCTCTGAGATAAAGTCTAATCTCTTACATCACTCCAACAAAGAAAAGTAGCCCCATTTAAGGACATATGTTTATTTGGATATTTTTTTAAATGTCTGAAATATCTTAGAATTATAAATGGCCTTTCTTCTAAAATGGTTTCATATATACTATTTTTATCATAATATCAGTGCAAAATAACTATGATTATTAATAAAGATACAAGATTACAATTCAGAAATATGAATTTGTACTTTCAATAAACATCAGATATGTTTTTTAAAAGTTTAGTGTAAATTATATTTAGGGAGCTTGCTAAATGTGGGATGAAAGTAGAGAAAAACCCTTTGTGTGAGCTAATAATTACTGAGTCCTCCGGCTTGTATACATCTACTTTAGTACTCTGTTTGCTTAAAGTGTGGTATTGTGCTGATTCCTTCTTACAGAATTAACAAAATTTTAAAGCAGTTTGGAACTATAGAGATGTTTTCATCCAACCTCCTTTTGTAGATGAAAAATTGAGATACAGAAACATTAAGTAGCTCAAAGTTAACTTGAAGCCCAAATGTGATTTATATCTTTATTTCATTTTAGTAGAAAACAGATATTTATTTTATGAAAGAAAAACTCCATCTGTTTTCAGGAACTAATTAATGTAGTTAGATAATATTTCAGTTAACTCGAATCGAAAGATAATAAGGTCTCTGTAGCACCAGTGTGACAGACACTTTTAAATACTTTAAATGTTACTGGCCTTAGGTGTAACTTACCCATTGTTAAATCTCTTTGATATGACAGCATATTTCTAATAAATGCGTGTGTTGCATAAATACAGAGACTAAAATTAAATGTCTTTGTTTTCACTGTAAGCTGAGGAACCTAACAAATATAAAGAAGTAGTTGTTTACTCTGGTGTCTACCTACCATGGAATATTCCTGAATATTTGCAGGTTTATGTAATTTATTCTTTTTCATGAATGTGATTTATTGAAAGTGTGACTAAATGTAATTTAAGTTTTATATATTTGTATGATTTCTATAAATAAATTAAAAATGAGAAAAAGTTATTGGTTAGACCACATGTAGTTATTTTTTATTTTGAAATTTTGATGATTTCATATTCATAGCATACTGTGTTCTTCTTACCCCACATTAGAACAATTTAGTGCTTTCTCTTTTAAAAGATACTACATAAATAACTTGATAAATGTCAAATACCCAGGAGCAAATGTTGAGAGAAACTAAAAAAGAACCAAATAAATTCAGAACTATGTAATTTTCATGTATTGAAAAAATCAGTATTATAAAGATATCTGTTTTCTCCAATAAAAATCTCAATGGCTTTTTCTTAATGACAGCATTATTGAGATATAGCCACAGATCATAGAATTCACCTATTTTGTATGTACAAAATTCAGTTTTTTAGTGTAGTCACAGTCAATTTTATAACATTTTCATCACCTCAAATAGAAACCCCATGCATTTTAGCCGTCTGTCTCCTATTCCTCCTATGCCCCTCAGCCCTAAGCAAACACTAATCTACTTTTTGTCTCTGTAGACTTTCTGCTTTGTCTTTTAAGTCATGAAATAACTTTTGATATATTATTAACTGCAATCATTCAAGTCATAATTGAATAATACGTTTTCCTATGATGATATTTTTTAGTCCCTTCTTTTCCCCTATCACATTTTTTTGGAATATTTCTAACGGTGATAGTAGGAACAGTAGAAATAGAATGAAATTAATAGCCTTTGAGAAATAGGGCTTATCAATATTTAATTGTTTAAACCAGGGAATAGAGAGTGATCATTTAGATTCTTAAGGGGAATTAAATTACACAAGATTTAATCATTTAAGGCGGAATCAGAATGCTAGATCCCAAGCTGCCCATTCAGAAGGGCCTTGAGCTTTTGTCTGCTTCTCAAGAAGAGAACCACTTGGGAGAGGGACGATTTCAGCCCTCGCCAGGCTACTGCAGTCCTTTTGCTATATTAATTGATGTTTAATATAAAGAATTAAACAGACTTTATTGGCATCTAATTTGTAACATATATTCGCCTGCGGAGCCACCACCCACATCAATGTCTAGAACATTTCCACCCCCTTGGAAAGTTTACCGGGCCCCACTGCAAGATACCATTGTTGTGATTTCTAGCATCTGAGTGTAGCTTTGCTTGTCTGGAACTTCACGTAAAGGGAATCAGGCTGTCTGTGCTCTTGTGTCTTGGAGGTCCATCCTTTGTGTGAGTCAGCAGCTCACTGGTTTCTGTCTCCGGTGTCTTGTTGTCTGGAGGCACCAGTTTGTTTACATTCCCCTGCTGTTTAACCATTTGGGTCATGTCCATTTGGCTATTGTGAATAAAGCTGCTGTGAATATGTTTTTGTTTCTCCTGGGTAAATATGTAGGCATACAATTGCTGGGTCAAAGAGGTGTTTAACTTTGGAAGAGGGCCAGACTTTTCACAGTGGTCATGCCACTGCATTCTCACCAGCTGTAGATAGGAATCCATGCTTCCAAATGTCCTCTCTACATCCTCTCTAATATTTGATGCTCTCGATTCTGCTGATATTTACATCCCCTCTAACATTCGCTGTTGCCAGTCTTTTTAGAATTAGCATCTAAGTGAATATAAAATAGCATCTGACTGTGGTTTTAATTTGCATTTCTCTGACAACTAATGATAATGAGCACTTTTTTGTGTGCTTATTGGCCATTTGCGTATCTTCTTTTGCAAGTGTTTGTTCAAGTTTTGTGCCCATTTTTCATTTTAAAAACAATTTCTTAGAGTACATGAAATCAACATTAATCATTGTACTACACAAGACTATTAATTATGCCATGGGGAGTCACATGGCTATGTTTACATTAACCCCCAAAATTGAATATAAACTTGCTGTGCTTTTTATTAATGCATGGCTTCCCTTCTTCTTTCTCTCTCTCTCTCTTTTTTTAAAAGTTTGGATTGTGTCCATTCTTAAAGTCAGGTTATTTATTCAGTATGGTAGTTCTTTATGTATCCTGGATAAAAGGCCTTGTTGGATTGTGAATATGTTCTTTGTGGCTTGCCTTTTCACTTTTTAGCAATGTCTTTGGAAGAGCAATTTTTTCTTTTGGGAATAGTGCTTTTTGTATCCTAAGAAATCTTTGTCTTACAACCCCAAACTTGTAAAGATACTCTCTCTGTTTTTTTTTTTCTAGGAGCTTTTTAGTTATTAGTTTTACTTTTATCTGATCCATTTTAAATTGATACTGGTATATGGTGTGAGGTAAGAGTCATGGTTCCTTTCTGCCCCTCCTCCCTGTATAGTTACCTGGTTGTTCCAGCAACATTTCTCCTTAGAAGCCTTCTCTTTCCCCCACTGAATAGCCTTGACACCTTTGATGAAAATCAGTTAATTATATCTTTGTGAGTTTATGCATCTGTCATGCGTTCTTTGACTAATCCTATGCTGCTATCCTGATTACTGTGGCTTTTATAGTAAGTCTAGAAATTAGGTGGTGTATGTTCTCCAATTTGTTCTTCATTTTCAAAAATGTTTGACCATTCTAGGTCCTTTGTATTTCCATATAAATTTTAGAATCAGCTTATTAATCTCCAAAAATGCCCTCTAGGATTTCAGTTGTGATGGCATGGAATCTAGGAATGATTTTGGAGAGAATTGGCAGTTGAACAGTGTTGAATTTCTGAGTCCATGAGCATGGTATAATCTCTGGGGTTTCATTTTTGTTTGTTTGTTTGTTTGTTTTGTTTTTCTGAGTCTTCTCTAATTTCCCTGCAATATTTTGTGGTTTCCAGTGTGGAGGTTTTGTGTATTTATGGTTAAATTTACTCTAAATATTTAAACATTTTTTGGTGTTATTGGAAATGGCATTTCAATTTATTTCCCTGTTGTTTCTTGCTCTTAGAAATAGTTGATTTTTGTATGTTGACCTCTGCTAAGTTCATTCATTTCTATTTATCTTGAAACATTTTTTGTAGATTTCTTAGTAATTTCTATGTATACAATCATGTCATCTGTGAATAATAATTTTACTTCTTTTCTAATTTCTCTACCTTTTATTTCATTTCTTGCCTTTTGCACTGGCTTCTAGTACAAAGGTCAGAGAAAGTGATGAGAGTGAGTGTCTTTCTTATGTCTGACCTTAGGGGAAAGCATTCAGTGTTTCACTGCTAAATCTGATGTTAGCGTTAGGTTTTTCTTAGATGCCTTTTATCAGAATGAGGGCATTTGATTTCCAGTTTGTGAAAAGTTTTCATTCCTAATGTATCTTGGACTTATTCAAATGCCTTTTCTATATCTGTTGAGACTATCATATCTTTTTCAAATTCTGTTAATGTGGGTGAACCATGCTGATGCTTTCTAAATATTGAACCAACTTTGCATTTCTCTGTTAAACCCCATTTGGTCATGATTTATTATACACAGACATGCTGATCTGTTTATTCTTAGGAAAAAATACCCTGCATATATAGTACAAAATATATTCTTTTTCATGGTTAAAGATGGCAGAGTTGAAGTGTATGCTCAGATATTTACAAGTTTTTTGAAGGAAACTTTGCCCATCTTAAAAAGTAACAATTATCCTTGATTTTAATCTTGGCACCAGTATCAAGTAGATGGATGACTTTAGTTAATATTTAATTGCTCCAGATCTCAGTATCCTCATCAGTAACATAAGTGCATCTAATTGGATGATTTAAAGATCTCTTGCAACATAAAAATTACTTGTTTCTATGAAATATTTGGTTATAATAGTTTCTGATTTCTTCTATACCCTGATTATAAACATATAGAGAGCTTAATTCTGATGTAATGAGTAGAAAATTACAATGACTTATTACCAACAGACTGTACCAAAACTGAACTAGTATGCACACCATGTATTCTAAATACTTTTAAAAATTTCATTGAATATGATTTGCATACCTGTTCACACTCCATTTGTT